ATATCATTATACCAAGGAATATTGTCAGAGGACTTGTCTACAACCCAACAGTGGGCAGGCTTGTCTTGAAGTTGAATCTGGATTGGTTCGATCCTCAATTTATCTGGATACTGGATCATAGAAGCTAAGGTGGTCAAAGCATCAGCAAATGCATTTCGGGCTCGCGGGAGATGTCAGAACTCCAAATTTTGAAATTGCTTGGCCAGAGTGAGCAAACTACAATGGTAGGGCAAAATTTTTGAATCTTTGGTTATCCACTGCTTCAAGGTTTGGTGCACGAGCAAATCTGAATCACTGAAAACTATCAACTCTTTGATTTCCATTTCCAAAGCCATTTTGAGACAAAAATGCAGGCTTCATATTCAGCCATGTTGTTTGTGCAAGCAAATTGCAATTTGGCAGCGGCAGGGTAGTGCTTCCCTTCGGGTGAAACCAAAACAGCTCCAATTCCAGCTCCGAGAGAATTCAAAGCTCCATCGAAGAAAAGCCTCCATTCAGAGCTTTGCTCACTTATATCGTCTGTGGCGCCTACAAATAAGACTTTCTCATCAGGGAAATAAGTATGAAGTGGTTGATAATCATCATCCCTTGGATTTTCTGCCAAATGATTAGCTATAGCTTGCCCCTTGACAGCCTTCTGTGAAGTGAAAACAATATCGAACTCTGAGAGAATTATCTGCCATTTAGCCAGACGTCCAGTTAGCATCGGCTTCTCCAAGAGATACTTCAAAGGATCAGATCGGGAAATAAGATAAGTGGTATGACTCAACAGGTAGTGTCTCAACTTTTGAGCTGCCCAGGCCAATGCACAGCAGCTTTTCTCAATGAATGAATAATTAGTCTCATACTGCGTGAACTTCTTGCTTAGATTGTAAATGGCTTGCTCCTTCCTTCCGGAGTCATCATGCTGCCCGAGGACACAACCAACTGCTTCTTCAAGCACAGATAGATACATGATTAATGGTCGACCCGGCTTGGGTGGCACCAAAACTGACGGATGTAACAAATAATCCTTGATTTTATCAAAAGCTTGTTGGCATTCTTCACTCAAATACAATGGCACATTCTTTCTTAACAATTTGAACAACGGCTCGCATGTGGCAGTTAATTGGGCAATGAATCTCCCAATAAAATTGATCTTTCCGAAGAAACTTTTCACGTCCTTCTGAGTTTTCGGCACTGGCATATCTCGAATTGCTTTGATTTTCGCTGGATCTATCTCTATGCCTTTTTTACTAACAATGAATCCCAATAGCTTACCAGCTGGTGCTCCAAAAGCACATTTCGCAGGATTTAGCTTCAAATTGTACTTTCGCAACCTTTCGAATAGCTTCTTCAAATCAACCAAATGGTTCTCTGCCCTTTTAGACTTGATTATGATGTCATCCACGTAGACCTCCATCTCCTGGTGGATCATATCATGAAACAGGGTGGTCATGATCCTTTGATAAGTAGTTCCGGCATTCTTTAAACCAAATGGCATCACCCGGTAGCAAAATGTGCCCCAAGGGGTGATAAAAGTAGTCTTCTCCCTATCCTCTTCTGCCATCAAAATCTGGTGGTATCCAGCGAAACAATCACAAAAAGATTCAATCTCATGTCCAGCGGTATTGTCCAAGAGAATTTGAATATTTGGCAGAGGAAAATCATCTTTAGAACTGGCCTTATTGAGGTCTCTATAATCAACACAAACTCGCACCTCTCCATTCTTTTTTGGAACAGGGACTGGATTCGAAAGCCAAATAGGGTAATGGGAAACAATGATAATGTTGGTTTTGAGCTGTTTTTCAATTTGTTCTTTTATTTTGAGATTCATATCTGGTTTGAATTTTCGGAATTTTTGTTTTACGGGTGGAAAAGTAGGGTCTGTGGGCAACTTATGTACTACCACATCAGTTGAAATACTAGTCATATCATCATAGGACCATGCGAATACATCCTGGAACATAGTCAAAAATTCAAGCATCTCCTTTTTCTGCCTCTCATTCAAATGAATACTAATTTGCACCTCCTTAACTTCATCTTTAGTGCCAATGTTAACCTTTTCTGTTTCTTCCAGGTTCGATTTTGGTTTCTCCTCATATTGTTCAAAGTCCTTTGCAAAAGAATCGAATACCTCCTCATTATCACTCTCGCTTTGGAGCTCGGATTCCCAGACCTCCAAGTCGTGAGTGATATAGAGATTGCCATTATTGAATTCCAGAATAGTGATATCCAAAGGGTCAAATAGTTTTATTTTTGGCCATCTGAAAGAATTAACGAATGTGGGATAATAAGCAAACAAATATACAACAATCAAATGAACAAGCAATATGACAGAAATATAAACAAACGAATAAACAAAACAACATGACAAGAACAACTTGTGCATTTCATAAAACCTTTGATTGAAAGCGAAAACAAAAGAAAGCAAGCGGAAATGAAATGAAAACTTAACAATATTTTCACGTGTAAATTTTAGCCAAAGGTAAAGATGCTTTCATTAGCTATTTACAGATGCAGAAGTATTTTCATGAATTCGCATGAATGACAAACCCCTTTAGGTTTACCGAAACTCCTTCTGAATAGGCAGAAACTCGGCTGTCCAATTGGAAATTGATCCTTCAGGGATGTCGGGAAACTCGGCCTCATCTGGGAAACTGTCTTCAAATATTGCCCCAACGAACAATTGGGCCAAACTAGTTTCGATTCCGTCAACTGGGTTAATCTCTAACGTGATCACCTCGGTTGGTCGTGGAAAAGTATAATGCAGTGGTGGAATATCAAGGGCCCTTGGCCTGCCTTCTTTCTCTGCTCTCTTGCGTTCTTTCATTTCTTTGATGTCTTTAGCGATTGGTCGGAAACCCAAACCGAATGAATCATTTTTCTCCACAATTTCCACTAGTTTCAGAATTCCTTGTAGGTCACGTCCCAGCCCTTTGTCAAACTCATATCCTCTGCGGATCATTTCCTTAGCCATCATGACATTGGCCTTTGACAGAGCTCGTTCCTCTTTGGTTATCCAACTTACGGAGACGATATCAGCTGTGCTATGAGGGGTCATTGTGGCGTTTCGGCTACCATCTTCTTGGTCCCAGAATCAGCAATCACGAAGCAATCCTCCTCGGCAAAGATAGTTATCAATTTGTCATTTATTATGAATTTCAACAATTGATGCAATGAAGAAGGCACAGCTCCGGACTTATGAATCCACGGCATTCCAAGCAAAACATTGTAAACACTAGGAAAGTGCATAACTTGGCAGGCTATTTGAAACTGGGCGGGCCCCATCTCCACTACTAAATCCACTTCTCCTATAGGTTCTCTTTGTGCTCCATCGAAACCTCTAACTATGGTCCCTGAAGGCCTCAGCTTGATATCTTGCAACCCTAGCTTTTCCAAGGTACTCCAAGGACAGATATTAAGCGCAGATCCATTGTCAATCAACACATTTGGCAACATTTTCCCGTTGCACCTCACAGCTATGTACAAAACTTTGTTATGTCCAATGCCTTCTGCCGGTAACTCATCATCAGAGAAAGTGATTTGTTTTGCAAATAACACACTCCCAACTATATGTGAGAAATTAGCAACTGAAATGTCCTTAGGGATTTGAGCTTTAGTCAACACTTCGAGCAACGCATCCCTATGCATATCCGAAGAAAAGAGCAGATCCAACATGGATATTTGGGCGGGCGACTTGCTTAGCTTCTCGACTACATTATATTCGCTTCTTTGGAGCCTTTTAAGAAAATCCAAGGCCTCCTTCTCAGTAATTGTTGGTTTAGCGGGCAGCTCGGGGTTATTTGTTTGAATCGGAACGGTAGCTCCAATTTGTATGACAGGTTCATCGTAGTTCCATGGCACTCGCTGCAAACTTAGAACAGGCTCCTGCTCTGGGAATTCGATGACCACTGGCTCCAAAGCCTTGCTCTCAGCTAGAGTGAGATCCAAAATAAAAGGCCTTTTATCCTCCTCAAATGGCACCTCTATTACAAATGGTTGGTCTGTGACCCCAAACACCTCAGCTTCCCTTGCCAATTTCTGGACTTGCTCCTCATACTCTGCGTCGTCCAGAATGACCCCAATGGTATTAGTGTGTTCCGGCAAGGGGTTCCTATTTATATTCGGCCCTTGTGCCTCCTTTTTCCTGATTACAATCTCTCCGGCTTCAATCATATCTTGAATTCTATGCTTAAGAGCCTTGCAATCAACAGTTGAATGTTCGGGTGCCCCTGAATGATAAGCACAGACGACTTGTGGGTTATACCCAGCGTATATGCCATATGGATAGGTCGGAGAGGGTACCGTGCCAATCTTTCCGGCGGCCTTCAACTGGTCATACAATTGGTCTAGAGGCCTGCCTAAATCGGTAAATGTACGGCTACAGGGTTGGTTGTAAGGTTCAGGAGGTTGAGGATGGCTATAAACAGGTCTATTTGGGGGAGGAAATCTTGGGTTATATGGAGGGCGAGGTCGGTTTTGGGGTGGATTTGGTTGAGAGATTTGAAAAGGGGCTAAAGGTGGGTTAGGATAGCTTGGGTGAGGTCGAGGGTGATTGATATTGGTAGCATATACATGGTGCAGGTTTGAATAATAAAGGTAATGTGGTTGGTAGGTTGGATTGTGTTGGTATCGGGATTTGGGTGAAGGGTTCTGGTTCCAGATAAAAGTTGCCTCCCCCTCTTTCTTTTTAAACTGCGGCTTCTTTCCACTGCTCCCTTGCCCTTGCAAAGCTTCTACTTGTGATTTTAGGGCAGAGAAGTTGACAATTTTTTCGGCTCTCACAAAATCATCATACTCTTCGAGTTTATTCACAATCGCAGCAAATGTACACCTAGTCATGCGGAAGATTTCTTCGAAGTATGGAGGATCATGCGCCTTTATGAAAGTGCGAATAATTTCATCTTCAGTCATCGGAGGCTCAACCTTGGCAGCTATCTTCCTCCATCTTTTGGCGTATGTCTTATGATCTTCAGATGGTCGTCTCTTGGTACCTTCCAAAGTAGTTCTGGTCGGTGCTAGCTCGCAGTTATATTCGTATTGTCTGATGAAGGCTTGGACAGGTCAAGCCAAGTCTTCACCTCCTCTGGCTTTAAGTTTGAATACCAATCAAGGGCGTCTCCTTCTAGACTCTCTGGAAATAACCTTAATGGCAAGTTTTCGTCATCCACCGGTCTGCCCAACTTGTTGGCAAACAAACGCAAGTGTGTTTTCGGGTTGCCCGTACCATCATATTTATTGAACTTCGGGGTCTTGAACCCCACGGGCAGCTGTACATTTGGAAACAGGCACAGATCATCGTAGTCTAACACCCCTTGTTTGCTTAAACCTTGGCTTTTCCTGATGAACTCATCGAAACGATCCAACCGCTTAAGTAACTTCATATCAACCGGGGCAGACGACTCTCCCACTTCTGGCTTGGTTTGAACAGTGTGCTCCGGCGCAACAGGCTCTGCGGTAGTCTGATAAAAAGCTTGTGGATCCAGAGACATGTTTGGACCATCTTGACCACCCTGAGGCTGAAACCCTTGCCCATAGGGAGGATAGAACGGAGGATTTTGAGTGTAAGTATACTGCGGGTTAAAAACTCCATCAAAAGTGGTTTGAATTGGAGGGATGACAAATGGTTCGGATTCCAGTTGTTTGACGGGCGCAGGCTCGGGCTGCACTCCGCTACTAATGAGCTCGTCGATCAACTTCTTTTGGGCAGCCATCTCAGACGTCATTTCCCCAAATTTGGTGAGTAATTCAGTCAACTGAACCCCAGGACTTGTGGCTTCCGGCTGGGTAGTCGCAGCGGTCTTATCAGACGATTCTGGCTGAGTACTCATGTCTACACGATTCCTTTGGGCTTTACTTCGGGATCGCGTAATAATGGAGCTTTTCCGAGAAGCTATTTTGAAATTTTACCTGAGGATGTAAAAGACATCTTTAGATAAACCAATCGTTACTAGATTTCTGCAACTTATTCAAAAAAAGAAAAAGAAAAAGACATGAGTTAGTGATTGTTTAAACAATTCAGATGCATGTCCTACGGGGGGACCCTTTTTGTGCCAAGGGTAGGCCTAGCATGATGCAACACCTTCGAAATGGGACCCGTAACACAAACCTGTTTTTGACAACAATTCCAAATGAGTGCAAAAGAAAAATCGCTTTCATTGATAAACTTGCCAATATTTACATCATGTCACGAAGATGATTCCGTACAAGATTGCCAAAACTTCTGAACCTATCTAATACAAAGTCCTTTGTTTCCCTAGCATATGGAATTCTAACACGTTCAGTTTGGTCATACAATTCTCCGCATTTCCTTTTCAGCTCTTGACGCTTTCCTCGTTCATTTTCGTACAATTGCTTGTGTTGCTCTGCTATCCCTTTGTGTGTTTCGACAGACTTACTTAACTGCAGAATTTCCTTATCCTTTGCTTCGACAATGGCTTTCAACCTTTTCACCTCCTCAGCTGGCTCATCTTGAATTTTTTGCGTAGCGGATCTTCTTACCCAGCCTTCGTATTGTGTAGTGGTCAAACCCTTTTGCTTGAGTTCCGGGATGTATTGAAATCTCTCGTCATCCGACAGTGTCACCCATGCCTCGATAATCTGGTCTTTCATAGGGAGCTCGTTTGGGCACATTCCTTTACTGAAAACGACAGTAAGCTTACTCATATCAACCACATGCGACACTTCTTGTGTACGTCCTAACTGTCTGAGGAACCTCTTTGGAGTGTATGCGGCGATTCCTTGGGTACCCAATAGGAGAACAAAATCTGACACTTTAGTGCGGAGTATCGGCCTAAGGCAAATCGTCCAGTCTAACACCCACCTAATGTCTTGATCTGGCAACATCTCTAAGTATTTGACACATTCAACCGCATCGTTCGGCAGACCCCCTTCGTTGGCTCGCTTATGATGTGTGATTACCCAGTTATACCCAACTACTGGTAAACTTTCCGGAACGGACGCTCGTCTCTTAAAATGTTCTAGGGCCCAGATATGCAAAACTATATTAGCCCCGTAGAAGAACTTTTCCCCTTTCTGGCAGTTGGTACAAGCTAGAAAAATGTCCGCAAGGATGGTCGGGATTATGGTGCATTGTTTACTTCGGATTCCTGAAAAGAGGTCTTGTATAACCTTTGCTACCTTGAAAGCTATTTTCTGATCTCTTCTCGGGAAGAAAAAAACTCTCGCCATAACTATTGCATACACCACTGGCCTTTTGCGTTCCCAAACATCCTTGGATGTGAATAAAAAATCCTCCCTATATCTCTCGAACCCATTTCGTAGTGCAAAATGCTCAAACAAAGTGTTCACGGGGACTCCCTGATCCGACCCTCGCAATACAGCCTCTCTAAATCCTATGATCTTGCAAAATTCTATCTTGTCTGAAACGTATGGGAAAATCAAGGCGGTTCCATGCAAAGGTAAATTGAAGAGGCCGGCTATTTCCTCAAGTGTCACTGTCATGTGCTTATTACCTACCCTAAAGGCCGAACATTCCAGATCCCACAGATGTACTAATGCCTCTACTAGATAGCCATTGGGCTTGATCTCCTTAAGGTCTCCAATTGGCCCTAAATATTGAGCTACTTGATGTAATTCGCTAGGTAGCATAAGGGCAGGCCATCTTTGAATCTCGGCCGACGGTACCAACAACTGGTAGATTCGACGGGGGCACTCCATCTAAAAATAGAAAAGGCGGGTTGTCGATTACCTTACCTACGAGTCCCATGCTCCGGTTGGCAAGAATTTAAACGTGCAATCCCTTGAAGGGTTATGTACCCATGGGAATAATCAAGGTGAGTTTAATCCTAATAGCGGGATCCCCTAAATGGCATTCCCCTTCTAGGGTTTATGCATGATGCCAGTTTATTAAAGCGATAAAACATGCAGTTTGAAATGAAATATGACCTAAGGGACCCTTTACTTGCCAGGGTAAGCCTAAAATAATATGGCATTATTAATCTAAGAATGCAATATACCAAAATCTTTAAACGTGCAATAGCCTATCTACAAGGGTAAGTTCCAAAAGAAGGTCATGCCAGACCTCTTATTTGCTAGGGTTTGTGAATGCAATAGGGACAAAACCAAGAAAGTTAGTTCAGCCAGATAAATACACATAACACACTGTAGCAACGAGATAAATCAATACAAAGAAATAAATCAATAAAAAGGAAAAGAGGTTGGATCCCTCCCCTCGTGAATAGTGTCCCTACCAGGGTAAGACAGACTCTACCCTAGGTAAACTATCATGGATGCATGGGGCTGGGGCTCACTAATGCATCTAGACTCGATAGGTTTTAGGTCCCCGAGCCTTCAGACTTGAAAGCCAAGGGTCATCAATCCCAAGGTTCTTTGTCGGTGGCTCGAGCGATTCCCCAGACATTGCTACGCACACATCGTGTCACGGCTACATGTCATGAGTGAATCTATCAAAATCCTCAACCTTCGATTAAAAGTTAAAGGCTATGAACCCAAAGCTTAAAATGGAAGATTGAGTGACCCCTCGGATCATGCTACGCACACATCGTGTCGCGATCACAAGTCCAAGTGAGTCGCCTAAAATCCTAATAGGGTGGAGTGGCGTGACAAGCCACTAAAAGAAAAATAAATGAGGGGAAAAAATTAAAGCGTATGCACGTATGCTAGTGCTCGTTTGAAGGGGAGGGATCGAGAACCAACGCGAGACTCTAGGGTAATATCCCCCACCCAAATGCAATGCAAAGCGCGGAATAAAACAAGTACAACATACATCCAAACAACCAATCATACATACGTGAATGAGGGAATAGTTTGATACGCGCGCGAGGCAAAAAGTTCTAGAATGGAAAATGCAACCCTAATATCCAAATGTTATGCATAAAAAAGGGTAGAAAAAAGGAAAAGAATAGCTAAATCAAATGCTTGGACCCACTTAGGAAATCCCCAGTGGAGTCGCCAGCTGTCGCGCCCCACTTTTTGAGATGTGAAAGTAGTGTGTGGGATATGTATGTGAACGTGTGTAAAAATGAAAATAAAAGGCCGTGGGATTGTGAAATGCGACGGTTTGGCCAAACAAAGTTTCAAAAAGGGTTTTTTGAATGGAAAATGGAGTCGCCACTTGATATAGAGTTAGGGTGTACCAAGTCACCCAAAAAGTGATTTTTTAGAAAAAAAAAGTAATCAAACCCTTTTTAAAGAAATTTTTAGGTCTACGTAACCAAAAAAAGGGATCGGGGGTCACGTTTGATAAGGGAGAAAGCAAAGGCAAAACCTAAGGCACTCCTTTACCCTAGCCAAAGCTAGTTGCGTGTCTTAGCCCTCCTTTTCCTAATTTTTCTACCCAAAGTATGTATTGCATGTTGGATACGACTAATGGATGCGAAAAAGAAATGCAATCCAAAATCTAAAATGTCTCTTATGAAGCTTTTTGGTCCCAATCACATGAGTTGTGATGGCCAATAAGGAAAACTCTCATAGAGGTCACGGGTAATGTAAATGAAAATCCAAATATGAATGCAAGTGTGAAAATGTAAGAGGAATGTAAAATACAATAAAAATACAAAGGTAAGTGCAAGTGTGCAAATGTAAGAAAAGTGCATGTGTGCCAATTGAGAAAATAAAGGTATATGTGTGCAAGTGGATAAAAATATGGTATAATGGTAGTAAATGCATCTAAGTACAATTGGGTGCAATTTGTGAGGTAGAAAATAAGTAAGTGATAGGGAAAGAAGAGAAATGTGTGAACATGGCATGTGGAGTGAGAAAAATATAAGTAGTGAGAAAATGTAGATAAAAAATGAAAAAGTGATATGGTAAAATGGAGGTGCATGAACCTAGAGGAGTGCATCAAGTTGGGCACGGGAATGACTTCTAACTTCATGATTTTAATTTTCCCTTTGATTAGAAGGAAGAACTAGCGTGCTAAGGCTATTTTGTAGCCACACTCGCTCGTTTCCCTTACCGAAAGGGGACTCTCAAGCAAATGTACCCTATAACTAGCATGAGGATGCAAAAACCTAAAATGAAGGGGAAAGGATTGGAGGAGCATGCCAAATGCTAGAAAACTAAGAAAAATGTATGAAATGTAGTGAAACATGCAAGTATGTACTAACGAGAGGGGACGGCCTATTGGGTCTAGCATTGGACTAGCCCTTTTCTAAAATTCTCTCGCAAGCATTGGACTTGCGAGAGCTCGAGGGGAAAAACCATGACCAGCGTTGGACTAGCTACGGTGACGTCACACATTCATTGTAAACCAAATAGATCATGTAAAGGCTAATAAAGCAAATAAACACATAAATCACATATTGCACATAACACATAAGCATGGTATCTAGATGCAAGACCCTAAGAAAGCAAGTAACACGTAGCACGTAAGCATGCAAATCACACTAATGAACCTATTACATTGGCTAACTAAAACAAATGGGGAAGGGGAAAAGTGAATAAAAATGCTCTCCAAGCCCTATCTATTACAAGCCAAGAGGTGTACACATACCCCATAAAGGAATAACTTAATAAAAGCAAAAGTAAATGAAATAAATGAAGGAAATTAGGGAAAGACAAGGAAAGCAAAGTAGACATGCAATTCTCACTTAGCACGTTGGATCACATAGAGGAGAGACAAAAAAGGATAAAAGAAGTGATACCTCCTCGTTTGTGATGCTAGTAAAGTGATCAAAACTTAACTTGGACTAAAGTCACCAAAGAAAGAGATAACTTGGGCTAAAATCATCAAAGCAAAGGA